GCACCAAAAAATAACCTATAGTCCACTATGTTTCAAGCCCCTAGCGATTTTACAGTTAGATATAGAGAAATAAAGTACCTCCGCCACTACTTTTGGATTGCCCTAAGTATTTCACTATACTTTACTCTAGGTGTTTTTTTAATACTGATCACAAATCTGATTTCCATTTGTTCCCATGGATCACTCTTGGATGGATCAACAGAAACCGGATCCCTTCAAAAACCCATATGAGCTTTCAACCGGATACATTCTAATAGTGCCAAATTTTAAAATATATTGGATTCTCCATGTGACTAATGGATCATTTTCCTTAGAGTTAGAAAACGTTGACCAAAGGTGAATGTTCTATTTGGTAAAAGTATAGTTTTATAACTCTAAGGAAAGTGATCCTTGGAAGTGAATAAACAAATATCAGATTCATCGGTATCAAAAACTACCTATAGCGAAGTATATTGAAGTTTGTTTCGAACAAAAAACGTTTGATCACTTGGCGAGGCATCCTTGTTAGTGATCTAATGGATGTTGCCTAACACAAAACTGCAATTGAAAGATATTGTAAAATGATCTATTACATCTCTTCACTTTCTAAAACTGGATTTAAAATGTCTCTTTTCGTAATATATGCAATATAACTAATTGAAATATGTTTAACTTATAGTTGCAATACGTGGAAGCATTATCTACTTTCTAATGTCAGAGTTAGTTCTCGTAAATGCGATGTATCAAATATCTCTTACACAATTTTTGGACTTATTCCATGAGTCTATGATAAAGTATGAGAAGGGAGATGCTGTTTTTCTGCTGCACTATAATTTACCTTTTTCATTTAAATTCCCTCGTGCTGAAGATAGTCACTTAGAAATAACGGTCCACTCTATGTAGATCTCCAAAGATTGCTGCTACACAAAAACGTATTCAAAATATCAATGATTATTTAACGTATCGTTGTTGGTATTATACAACACGTGGTCTATACGAAAAAGATAAATTATTATTTACATTGCTGTTGGCTCTTCGAATCGATGTAAAACGAGGCAGAATAAAGCATGAAGAATTTGACGTGTTAATTAAAGGCATTTAATCGTGAATTTTGTTACGTCAGTAATCGTTACTAATAGTCATTTATATTTAGGTGGTGCATCTTTAGATTTAAATACTTGTCCACCAAAACCGTTCAGATGGCTAAATGACGTTGCCTGGCTAAATATATTGGAATTAAGTCGTATCAGAGACTTTTACGATATTGTAGATAAGGTACTGGATTAAAAGAGTATGAAACACGACTGAACAGTAATAGCATCTATGTGGTTGACCATAGTCATTCAAAGTTACAAATACTAAAATCCTTTTACAACTTTTCTCTCACGTCAAGCATTTTCTCATCTGTAATCATAATTATAAGAATTCTGTTGCTGGTATTTTTTAAGATCCAAAAAACTGAACGAGCATTTAAAGATTGGTTTGATAAAGAATCAAGTGATTTATCTCCATTTCCCGAACCATTTGATAATTTAAGTATGTTCCATCGATTTTTATTAGCAAGGTGTTTATCGCCCGATCGTACCATTAGTGAAGCAAGAAACTATATAATTGAAAATTTGGGTTCAAAATATTCGGAACCGTCTGTATTAAATCTTGAGACAATGTGGGAAGAAAGTGATTATAAAACGCCCTTATTAGGTAAACTATTGATTTAAGCCATATGAGACTTGATTTGATGTTGTTATTCAAAGGCTTGTTATCGAGCGGAGCTGATCCAACATCAAATATTCAAGCATTGGCTAAGAAAAAAGGTTTGGAAACTTTTGTTGTTTCAATGGGTCAAGGCCAGGAAATTTTGGCTAGAAGAGTTTTGCAACAGAGTATTGCCAATGGAGGATGGGCAATCTTTCAAAATTGTCACTTGGGCTTAGAATATATGGAAGAATTTTACGATACATTAATGGCTAATGAGCAATTTGAACATACATTTCGTACATGGTTAACAACCGAGGTTTATCCACAATTTCCCATTCAAGTCTTACAATGTTCAATTAAGTTTACAAACGAGTAAGAAGTAACATTTCAAAGATGTTAATATCGAAAACTTGTTCATTGTTATTTTAGACCACCCCAAGGTATTCGGGCTGGATTAAAACGAACATACGCTTTGATTTCTCAAGATAAATTAGAATATATTGAAACACCCCAGTGGAGACCCATGTTATATTCTGCATCATTTATACATAGTGTCGTACAAGTAAGATATCTCAGCGTTATACGATATATATTGCTTGTAAAATGTCTTTTCGAAGGAACGCCGCAAGTTTGGACCGTTAGGATGGAATATACCCTACGAATTCAATCAGACCGATTGGGAAGCGTCTGTTCAATATATTAAAAACCATTTAGATGATATGAATCCAAAATTGGTATATTTTTATAGATGAAATCAACCATTATTACAGAATAAAACATCTATTCATCATAATTTATTCTTTATAGGGTATCGCGTTCAAAGCTGTCCGGTATATGATTTCGGAAATCCAGTATGGTGGTAGAATAACTGATGATCGAGACAGACGATTAATGATTACTTATGCAAAGGTTTGTTACATAGGCAAAACTTTTGCAGCTGTTCATTGAACAGCCATATGAGATTGGTGTGAATTGATTTTCTGCTTTGACAGTTTAAGTTTCAGAATGATATAATGGGAATTTATATTCTCGATTTCGTTCTGATTCAGGATTAAAGCTAGTGTAAGAGGGCGGCGTTAAGGTTCCTTTTTCAACGTAAGTAGATAGGTACGGTAACAGATCTGAAAACTTCATAAAACATGTACTTTCGATGTCTTCTACAAGCTGAAACTGTTTGAAACTACTCACAAATAGAAAACCTAATATTGTTGAATTCAAAAAAGGTCACCTCAATACTTGCATTAATATTATCTAACATAATGATATCGATAGCTCATCAACTTCATTTTCTATGCATTCTGAATTGTATAATATTTTTGTTATTGTTATCAGAACTGGTTTGGTGAATTCATATTTTCTAATGAATTTAAATATTATGACGGATACCATATGTCAAAAGCACGAAAACTCGAAGAAGTTTTATACTGTATTGATAAATTACCGTTGATTGATCCGCCACAAGTTTTTGGATTGCATCCAAATGCTGACATTACGTACGTCAGGAAAGAACATACAATTTTCATATGAACATACTATTTATTAATTTACAGATATTCAACAAACTTGGCGAAAGCGCTGTTGGATGAAATCGTAAGCATACAACCAAAAGAAGTAGGAGTCTTAGTCGGAGAAAGTCGAGAAAAGATTGTGCACAATGTTTGTGGTGATATGCTTTCTAAGCTGCCAGCAAATTTTGCTCAGCATGAGGTAGGTGGACAACTGTTCTTCTCTTCTGTACTTGAAATAGCTTTTGTGTTATTAAAGACGCAGGAAAAATTACGAAATATGGATCATTTAAATCCAATGGTGATTTTCTTACGACAAGAAATATATCGCTTAAACAAGGTGATTCGTCTTGTTCGTAATGAATTAACAGACTTACAATTGGCAATAGATGGAATAATCATACTGAATGATGTAAGACAGATTAACTATCACATCAAGTAGAAAACATTTTCTCTTCACACTCTAGTCGCTTCGCACGGCTTTGGATTATATCTATGACGGACGTGTGGCACCCACCTGGGTAAGTAAGACAGTAAAGAAGCGTTTTTTGACTATTAATTGCTTAATTTTCATATATATATATATATATATATATAGGTACGTTATTCATGGGAATCGACTACATTAGGTAACATGCGAACTTCGCCTTCAGTCGCATGCTATCTATGCATTTCGATTTTCAGGATTCTGGTTTTCAGAGCTACTAGATCGTTACACACAGTACAATAACTGGTTAAATCAAGGACGACCAAAATGTTTTTGGATGACAGGTTTTTTCAATCCGAACGGTACATGTAGCAGCAATGGATTTTATTAACTATAACTTATGGCTCATATCACCACATCGAAAAATTTTAGAAGCTTGTTCGACCAAAATCGATTGCCGATTCCGATTCTTCCGAATCGATTATCTAATTCGCAACAAATTTTGGCTAGAAGTACATTTAGCCCACTCCAGAAACATTTTGAGAAATGAATTGGTACAAGAATGGAGAATTCGTCCGTGTGTCCCAATCCAAAAGTTGTTGCGAACAAGATAATCGCCTACGAAGAATCGGAATCAGCAATCGATTTTGATCGAACAAGCTTATAAAATTTGTCTATCTGGTAATATGATTTGTGCTGTAGGCTTTCTAACCGCAATGAGACAAGAAGCAACACGTGCTCATAGAGGATGGTCATTAGACACTGTCACAATGGACAACAATGTTTTGAGATCCTACAAAGATGATATTCGAGATGCACCAACGGTATTTATTTTATACTGTACAAGAATGGTATTTTATCTATACATGTGAAATTTTTTAAATGTAGGAGGGTGTCTATGTTTATGGCCTGTTTCTCGAGGGAGCTGGATGGGATCGACGTAATTCACGTCTTCGTGAATCTCAAAATAAAGTTCTTTATGTACAAATGCCTATCATACATATATTTGCTATTAATCCAATGGCCGTAACTGCTGCTGGTCCACTAGCAGCTAGAACAAAAGCACGTTCACAAATAACTATGCGTACGAAGAGAACTGAAGTTCCAACAGCACCTTATGTATACTTGTGTCCTGTATATAAGAAACTGATGCGGACAGATTTACATTTCATAACAATGTTAAAATTAAATTCGAATGAACATTCCGACCGTTGGGTTTTACGTGGTGTAGCTCTTTTGTGTGATATTAAATAGATATACTCCTGAAATAAGTTTTGTTCTTTTGTATTGAATCATGATGTTACTCTCTATGATCGTTATCTATATTTTTTATAAAATTCTGTCATCTATCTTAAGAGAAAAAGTAATAGACGTAAACTTAGAACGATATTTTATTCTTTCCTCTCTATTCCACACGTATGGGACATTCACGCTTAATATAATAGGTTTTCATCGAATAATCCAACACAAGTAGCGTGAACTTAGTACCCTAAACAATATCACAAATCATAGGAACAAATGAAGTATATGTTGGATGTTTACATTCGAATCTTAAGACATATACCAATTAGCTAATGTCTGTGAACCTCTAACTTGTTAAAGTTGTTAGATCTTTTTTCATATGTAATGAAAATTTTGTCAATTCAGAATTATTTATGCACATTATATTTTCATTTCAATATAAGAATCTCTGCTCATGGTGTAAATTGGGTAAAATAACTTTAGCTGAGAAAATGTTAATCCATAATTTTGTACTCTTTTTATACACAAAATCGATAAATTTAATTTGGATAAATATTTAGTTTTATTAAAAAATTAGGCGGTATCTTGACGTGTATCAATACATCTTCAAATCTCACTTTTCTGCTAATTGACTTATCAATTCAAAACCCTGACGTACGTAATGTCAGCATTTGGATGCAATCCAAAAACTTGTGGCGAATCAATCAACGGTAATTTATCAATATAGTATAAAACTTCTTCGAGTTTTCGTGCTTTTGACATATGGTATCCGTCATAATATTTAAATTCATTAGAAAACATGAATTCACCAAACCAGTTCTAATAACAATAACAAAAATATTATACAATTCAGAATGCATAGAAAATGGAGCTGATGATTTAAAAGCCTTTTTCTTTTTTGGTTATCAGCTAAATTTTTAGAGTTGCTTCATAAAACTTCCTCCACATTGCCAAAGTTATATCGAAAACGCTGTCTATATAATTTTCGTTAATGTTGAAATCGATGATAGCAAAATTATCGCTATTGGCCGTTTAAATGAATGATAAAAAAAAACCATGAAGAAGAGACTAACGAACTAAAAAGTGACTAACTATAATGACAAAAAAAAAAACGTGAATGGGTAGATTTAGTTGCGGTACAACAACGACGTTTATTTTTCGTTTTTAATTCAAACAATGATTTTTTTTCAAAATATTGAGAATGAAAAATGTCGTAAAAAAAGTGCATAATGAAAACAAGCATAAATTATGTATATAAAATGAAACAAATGTGTACGTTATAGAAAAATAAATATAAAATAGCGAAGGACATGCAGTCATATTGCAATACATTAAAATAGAGAAAGAAGTCTAATCTGACCTATATGTGAGAATAAAAAAAACATTAAGATGTAACAGTTTATCTGTGACAAGAAAAAAAAAGACTAAAATGGCACGAATACCGTTTGTTAGCAAAAAAATTAGCTTCGTTGCATTTGCCAGTAAATGAGAATGAAAGCATAAGCGAGGTGACACGAATTCAAATTAAAATTAAAATGACAATACGAAGTGCTCATAGCTAATAAAATCTCGGAAAATATGTGTATCTTCCTCCATCTCTGATCTGTGTCATTCAACATCCACTAATCTTTCACACAATATTACAAAAGTGGACTATCACCATCATAATAATAAGAATGTAGATCATTTGTATGATAATTAGTCGAAATAATATTTTCTTTTGGTAATATATTTGCTTGTGCTTGTGGTTGTTGGTGCTGATTATATTTCAAAAATAATTGATATAGTAGACGATAAATTGTTTTCTTATCAGTTTTCATTAATATGTCATTTATCCGACAATATTTTCTCACATTAATTCCAGCTAAAAATAAAAAATAAGTTATTCACTATCAATCAGATATTTTATGTTACCTTCATTAATTAAATCGAAGGCAAAATTGAGATTAAATAATGATTGATCGTATGTTAACGGTTTTGAATGATGATAAGATTTTAATACAAGAAAATAATTTTCTAATGATGATATCAAATAAAGCAAATTTAAACCATCTTGAAATTGTTTTACATCCAATTGTTTTATATGAATATTCAATGGATTTAAATATTTGTTCACAAATTTTAATAACGTTTTTTCTACAATAAAGAGTTTTTCAGAAGAAGCTAAGTCAAATAAAGCGTCAATTGCATCAACAACATGACCATGTCGTTCATCTTGTACAAAATCCTACAAAAAAAAAAAACGAAAATATGTTAAAATTCATAGTCAAGAAAAGTTGTGTCACCTACGTTTTCTTCATCGTCATGTTGTTTAATATCATTTGAAATTTCATGATTATCAATCAATTGATCGTGAACAATGCGTGTTTGCAGTAAACCATTACATTTTTTAACAACAATTACTTTAACAAGTAAAGTTTTTGGTAGACTATTCATCTGCTGATGATCATAATATTCAATTAATGCCAATAAAAAATGTAGCATTGATACGATATCTTTTCGGTACAGTTTTTCAACAGACCATTTGATTTTATCATAATTATTGATATGTGAATTAAAATATTTTAACACAGTTTTTATGGTTTCTCGTTGTCGTTGTTCAGATAAAGGAATATTATCATCACCATTGCTCAAATGAATTTGTTCAAAGGTTTCAATTAATTTTTTGAATACATAACCGTCAAAAAGATCATTTTCAATGGATTTCACAATCATACGTTCACTGACTAAAACATGATTTATCCACTGGAGTAAAAATTTGACAGTTTCTTGAAAATCTTTATCGTTATATGTACTCGGCTCCAGCATTGATCGTTCTTCACCTTCATTTAATTGATAATAATCCGAATCGACAGAATGTAAAACATTGGTAGTGTTGGCTGTTGTCGATGGTGAAGCAAGATTAATTGAACTAATACCTTCTTGTAAAAGCTTTTCAATTTCTTGTCGTTTTTTAAGACTTTTTTTACGATGTCTTTGCAATGTACTTGTTAACGGAAGTTTTTCTAATATTGATGTTGAGACAGACATATCATCTTTGCTAGTATTACTCATTATTATTAAAATCTATAATTAAAGTTCTAACATTTCATAACTATTACAAAAGTTCGACGGAGTAAAAATATAATGGTACATGTAGTCACTTTGTGGTAATGCCTCCAGTAATTTGGTAAGATTTTTTTTATCATTCATCACCACTTACCTTCAATCGATGTTCGGAAACGGTTCTATTGTATTCGATAATCTGTACAAAACCATGTGTTTATTATGGGCAAGGAAAGTGAGATCACTTTCTTATTAGTAGAAGACTATTAGATGAATGTAGAGAAGAGAAGATGTGAGTAAAAGGATGACGTTGTGTAGTGAATTAGTCTTAAACTCATTTAGAACCAAGCTCTGAAAGTATCTCCATTGGAAATATATAGAAAGTACAAAGTAGTAAAAAGTGTAACAGGATTTCTCCTCTATTAATGGTACCCCCTCCCTCCTTTTTGACCTTCTTGGAAACCGGGGAAGCCGATGTCGGATTGGATTGTAATTTATACCAGAGATAGAACATCGAAAAAGAAAATCTAGCCCAGAAATTTCTGAGATGTTTTTATATGGATTTTCTGGAGAACTCCAGTTTACATTGGCTCACATTACGACTCCTCGAAAAAATGGTTCGATCGAGCTCAAAATTTTATCACAGATCCTATCTCAGGTTGTTTTCTTTTCGAAAAATATGCTTTCCTTCTCGAGATATTTGAAAAATAATGAAAATTCCATATAAAAAAACGGTTTTCCATTTCGAAAACCTTCTCACGCCGAAAGTTGAAATCGAAAACGCTTAAAAAAAGACGAATCTGATACACGATCTGAAGTATCTGTGGTAAAATTTTGAGCTCGATCGGACCATTTTTTAGTGTACACAGGGCTCTGTTTTTCAAGGCATTTGCGGCTATGCTTATATCTCCAGGAAAATTCGTCGGAAAATTCTGGAAAACATCGCATTTTGAAGAGCACACTGTCTTCTATTATGCTATATATATAAGATAATTTTGAATATATAGGAAAGGAGAGCAAAATTTACGAACATAAAAGACTTTATAATTTTTTTAGGGAAGGTGCTGAAGAGCTGGGAGTGGTCTCATTTTATAACCCAGACTTTCCTCTACATTAGACTATGTTCAGCTCAAAATGAAAACTTTTCTGCAAAAAAGAGAGTCCCTAGTGACATAACGAAGGTAAACTTGAATGACTCTTTGAACGATATGGAAAATCGTCGGACTTAAATATTTCTGGAATGCACTCGAAAGACGTATGGCTTTTAAAAAATTTTCTTTTATAGTATCCTTGTCTAATCGTCACTCTCCTCGTCGAAATTCTTTCCAATTAAGTATACTAAAATGCAAAACATTAAGAGCTATAATCCTACTCTTGTAGGATATCCATTTCAGACAGAATCCACTATATTTTCAAAAGCACTGTGTAAAAATTGACGCCGTAGTTTCTTCGACAGATTTAATCGAAAAAATTGACTTTCTAAAAGGTGAAAATTTTCTTAGAATTGGATTCTTTCTACATGAAACCTCATGGTTAGGAAGGAAAAATAATTTTGACCGTGTTACAGCCTATAGCTTCTGCCATAAATCTCTTTTAAACTCTAGAATGTATATAGGTACAATGGAGCCGTTTTTATAGTATAAAAAATAAAAGCAAGTATATGTTTTTTACTTCGAGATAAATAACAATTCTTTTAACACATCAAACAAAATATAAAATAACAGCAGATTGCTTTCGCAAAACGAAAGTAAATGCGTTCCTGTATAAAAAGTAGAAAAACTCGTCACGTACGAAAAAAAATGTACTTTTGACCATGTCATCTGACTAACACAAAACAGTGAATAAGATAGATATCCTTTTAAAAGTCTTTTCCATAAATTTTAAAGTTAAGAAGTACTTCAACCGTTATTTGTACTAACTGGAAGAAAAAAAAGTCGTTTATAGACCTCGACGTCTAACAGATTACATAAAATAACCTAAAAAATATCTGACAATTTTAAAAGACAAAAAATGTGCTTTAACGTCTAAAAACGACGAATTTACAGCAAATAACGTGTTTGCATTATTTGAAAAATTGACCAGAATATTAAAAAGAAACATTCAAAACTGTCCTGGATATAAAAAAACTTAACCAAAGAACCTGTATCGAAAATTTTTGATTAAAAAATATCATCACTATTCAAGAAAAAGTCTTGAAATAGTGCTACAAAATTTAACATCAGTTATACAAAAAAACATAGAAAACTTAAATTTAAGGATCAATAAATGAAACCATGATATACCGTTTTCCCTTTATGGTTGGCAAACCTTCATGTAAATGAGTTAAACGACCAGGATGCATTAATGACCAACCGACTCTTGTTGCACTCAATGTGCAATTATAGCGTATGAAACGACAACCACCACCCTATAAATCAGAAAAGTACAACTTTTTTTGTACTAGATCAGCAATCAGATCAGATAATCTTGCCTCATAGTCTTTTCCAACATCGTTTAACGCAACGTTAATTGTATACGTCGATGCATCATGATGAGGTTTTAATTTGTTTTGATATTCAGGCATATAACGAACGACGAAATTTAATGCAGCGCGTGGAGGCTGAATAAAGAGAAAAACAACATTGATGAAGAAGGATGATACTCAACTCTCACATACATTGTACATACATCATTTAAATAACCACTATATACTTTTTGTTGTATCGGCTGTATGATATCGCGTAGAAAAAAAAGCCAATGGGCATCGAAACCAATTTGAGTTATATGAACATCGTCTGTTGGAACATTTTCATAGCCACCAGCCAGACGTTTATCCTTCAAGAAATAGAAAATTAAATAAGAATAAAGTTTACACTTGTTCAAAATACATACATTATGTGCACTACCAGACCAAATATTAAATGCTTCCATTATGTCAACTAAATCTTGTGTAAATTCCTTTGTAACAACTGGAAACCAATAAGCATCGGGACATGGCTGAAAGTGAAAAAAGTTTTGACTCAAATGTTAATGTAACGTAATTTCCTTCCAACCTGTTCAATCGTTACATTTGGTTCAAGTAGTTTATAATAATCTGGATGTATATATCGTGCTTTCCAATCCTAAAACAAACAAAAAAAGTTTGTATAACTCTTTTCAATGGAGATTGCACCGACTGACCTTGACATTATTGAATATTTCATACATTTCTGGCCGAATTAGTGAAATATTAAAATTGTCTGGATCAACTAAATGACCATAAGTCATTTCATTTATTATCCAAAGAAAATGATCCTGAACATGAAAATCTTCGTGTTTAGTTCAACAAGCGTAACCGAAACAAATTATTTTCTTCTGCTTACCGAATCACGCATGGACATACTAAATTTAACATCTGGATCTATGTTCGCATCTTCATATTGGGGAGTGAAACGCTGCAGTAATGTTCCATTAATTAAGTAACAATGAGCAATGTACGGAACAATAAAGAGGCCACTGTGATAAAAAAAAAGATTAAGTAAGCTATATTAGAAAGGCAAAAACAAAACATTTTCTCGTACATTTTTTCATAGTTAATTATTTCTAAATAATCCGGTGAACGTCTATAATATCCATCTTCTGTGAAATCGCCCCAAAAATTTGCCCAAGTCTTACCGGGACGAACTAATAACGGAGCGATGACCGATCTAACGATAAAAACAGGAAAAATACATTAATAAATACATTAAAATTTCAAAAATTATCTCACTTATTCATCATCATTAATTTAACAAGTGTATTCGGATGATCCAAATGTACAACAGAGTCCACAACAAATAAATAATCACATTTATCATCTTGACATTCTTTTCTTTAAAAAAAAAGGCGAAATGATGGATAAATAAACAAATCTAACCGTTGTTTTCTCACATAGCTTGTTGTCTTCCTTCACTTTCCGATATATCATCATCAACAGTCAAATGTTTCACAAACATGTATTCTTGCTTAAATTTGGACAATAATTGTTCGAGCAATTTTTGATGATAGTCAACCTAAATATTAAAAACAAATGAATCGGATTAGTTTATTACTCCTTGTTCCTGCTTTTCTATTACATACTTGATTATGCACAAATAATCCTATACGCTGTTTTGGATAGTTTATTTTCGTGATTTTATCAAAATATTCTTGTAAAAATGGAGTTGGATATTCAATAAATATTGCCATATAAACAATAGGCCATTTGTTTGGCTAGAATCAGTTGATTGTGTTAACTTCTATACTCAATTCCTAAATAATATATGTACCTCATCAAACAGTGTAACATCGAGTAAATTTTCTTTACATTGTAAACAACCAGACGTTGGTGACCATACTTGAGCCAAATAATTACTCAAATAATTGAGATTACGCTAAAATTAATACAGACATACATTCGTCAGGAAAATCACATATACAGTTAGTGTGATACGAACTTTAGATGGGCCATTCCCATGTACAACGGTGGGAATCGAATCTGTACGTGTATTATGAACATAAACATCATCACCATTAACTTCTAATTTGATTTCTGCCACTGAACCGTTTAAATTCAAAAATATCTCTGCACCTGAATCAAGGAACACTGACCATTTTGACTAGAACGTAGAAAAAAGACGATAGTTTCGTTTTTATTTTGTACTTATGTCTCCATTCGTTTACTCGAGTGAATTCGTTTAGAAAAATTTTTGTGTAAAATAATTGATTATCTTCATCGTCATTGATTGTCTGACTTGTTATTAGTTCGTAAATATCACTAGCATAACCAATAAAACCACCAGAATTAAGAAAACGTTTTCTGTTGCTTTCAACTAATGGATATTTATGCTGTACACGAACAAAACGCTTAAAAGACGATAATATATACAAAGAAATTGTTCTACCTGAAGCTCTGGATTAGGCCAACAAAAATCTTCAGCACCAAATACAATACGTGCTGGGTTAAGCGCTTGGAATTTGTCTAGTAAGAATTCTGGACCTTGTGTAAATATCACGTCGTAACTAAATGAACAAAAATAGAACCAGGGGTCGATTTCAAGTGAAAATAACGTACGCATCAGAAAACAAAATAATTTTTGTTTTGTTTTGCCTATATTTAGCAAGATTTTTTCTCAATAGATTTATTATTTGTCCACCACCAGTTGCTCGTTTTACATCACCACCTTTCCAAACTTCTCCAAGGCCATAAATCTAAACAAACACAAAAAGCTTGTTCGTAGATGTTTGTTTCCAAAGTATATTATTTTTTATCTCACTTCGTACTTGTAACCATAGACATTTAAAGAGCGGATAAACCGTTGATAACCGTCCGTTTCTTCAGTAGCAACAGATACAACGAGCAAATCGTCTAAAAAAAGTGATTTACTCATAAGCTACTGTCGAAGTTGATATATGCTTGGTTGTTTTACCTTTACTTATTGCATACGTTGTCACAAAAAAACTCCATGCGGCTAATAAGTACAACATTTATAAAATAAAACAATTAATCTCATAATAAAAATCAGTGCTTCCGAGATCCATTTGATAAATCGAAAACGAGATACAACAACTATAGCATATCCTCTATAATAAAGCTGTATTTTTATTTTTATTTTTCTATTTATAGATTCTTTTTGTTGTTTGGCTCGAGTCATTGTTATTATAGGTCAGAGACTTTGATCGCTCTCACTTTTCTTGAATAAATCATTCATTTATTCATTCATACAGCTATAACTACTCTATTATAATACGGTCCATGTCTAAAGCACAATATTTTGGAACTGAATAAACTGTCAGGACGATGCAAACGATTGTAATAAAGTCAATAATAAAAGTAGAAACTAGAGATGAAAGCAGTAACAACATTCCAGAACTTATACAGAATAACATACCCTGTAATATATGCTAGCGTGAGAATTTGATCTTAGGCTTAATGACTTCCCCACTACTACCATCCTCACTCTACGTATCTCACTATCAAGAAGGAGATAAGCGATCTGTGAGATGGCTGGAGAATTGAGCGACATGTAAAAGCTCTGGAACGGTTCAAAATGCTGACTATCAAGTAAAGCTATCGTTTCTATCTATGGCTACGTTCACACTACAAAAGTTAATTAACTGTAGAATGTAAATTCAAACTGGCCGGCTGTTAGCAAGCCGCAACATTTAAGATTACTTAAGCCAGAAAGCAGCACAATTTCAAGCGAAATGTCAAAATCTTAGTGGTCTATTGAAGATTTAGATGTGAACGCTCTCAAAGTTAACTTCGAGTTAACTCAGCGTTAACTGTAAAAAATTGGTAGTCTGAACGTAGCCTATGTGATTGAGGATTGTCCCTTTTTTTACTGAGAAACTGATTGAACTGAACTACGTTTCTGAGTCACCAGATCGTAAATTTTTCTATCACCTAATCAGAAAAGTTCAGTAAAATCAGTTTCTCAATAAAAAAAGGGACAACCGTGATTGAGATCGTCGATTCTAAAAAATAAATATGAAACAAATATACTCCAATAAAACAGAACAGTCATCTGATTCCTAAAATAATCAGCCAATAGTTTGTTTCTAATTGCAAGTACATAAGTGTGTAATGTAATTAAGTTGTTCGTTTATACTAACTTTGAAAAAAGTTGCATTAAATTGGAGAAGAAAATTCTGTTATTTAAGATCAATGCTTTTCTGCAAGTTTTACAGAAATTCAAAATCAATCCTGACATCCTGAGGCACTATCATTCGTCAAAATAAAAACACAAAAGAGAAAATGGCCACCGCTGTTCGATTCCTTGTCCGTCCGCCGATTGGTATGTGTCCCTCTCTTTGGTTGCTGAATTGTGTGTCTGAATAACATCCAGTTTTGGGTTTTCTTTTCTCATTTTTGTAATTTTTTGCTTAATTTTGAGTAGATTTACGTTTTAATTGACTAAAAAATGTCTCAAAGTAAAGTAATATGAAAAGAGCGCTAGAGATTAAACACTAGTTGAGATTGATCGGGATCTGCTTATACAAATCTCCTCTTTACTCTCGAAGTACTGAGTACAGATATCTAAGTCGTTTAAATTATTCCTGGATTGAAGTACCGTAACCGCAGTATCTGTAAAATTTAATAATTGTGTACTCAAATGTCCGTTTCATTTTTATTCGCTATTTTCGTGTTCATTAAGTTATTCAAAAGTTTATAAGACTAATGATTATATGTTTTTGTTTTTCAGATCTCTAGTCACAAAACGATTTGATCTTGGAAAATGAACGGTAGTTCGGATGAAAATCATGTACGTATTTTTGTCTTCGTTTTTTAGTAAGATCTCACTGACTTTTGTCTATTCTTATAGCCAAATAATGTTGACGAAACGGTAAAGACAGAAAATATCGATCAACCATCATCTAGTGTAGATGAAACATCACAAGATTTCACAGCGAAGGACGAAACATTGAAAGAACCCTGGACAGAACAAAAACTTAATGAAAAGATCGTACAAAAATTGAAAAATTCCATAGAAAATGGTAAAAAAACGTTTTTTATATCAGAGATAACAACTGGTGGAGTTTCGCAATCTGTGTTTTGTATAATAACCAAGTAGTTGCTTTCTGTTTGTTCTAGGTAAACTAACCGAAGCCGATATTGACAATAAACTTTGTCTTGCACTAAAAACTTTGCCTGATGATCAAGAAAGTATCGATAGTGTACTTAATGAATATGACACCAGTGATTTGACAGGAGTTATTAATAAAAGTGCATTTTTGTGTAATATAATCAAACAGTGGAAATTGAAAAATACGAAAGAAATAAAAAATAGTTCAGAAAAAAAAATTGGCGAAAGTACTGATAAAAAACCAGGACCAGATGAAGCTAAATTAAAGGTAAACTTTTGAGGTTTTTAATAGTTTCTCATTCACTAATAATTTTTTTTCTTTCAGGCCATTTGTGATCGAACACATTATGCAATCGAAATTACAGGTATGTATATTTTTCAAGAAACTATGAAGTTTCTTTGTTAAATTATTTTCTCTTTTAGCCGGTCAGCGAAAATATGGAGGACCTCCACCGGAGGGACCAGAAAGACCACCAGAGAACAGTGAAGTACGTAGTAAAGTTAATGTGACTTTATACTCGAAAATCATTATATATTTGTATTATTCTAGGTATTTGTTGGAAAAATTCCACGTGAAGTATTTGAAGATGAATTAATTCCATTATGTGAAGAAGCAGGCAAAATATGGGATTTAAGATTGATGATTGATCCATCTACCGGTTATACTAAGGGTTATTGTTTTGTCACATTTTGCAGTCAATCAGATTCATTAAAAGCTCGTGATAGGGTATGTATTTTTTAAATTATCATCGCTATAATTTATTTCGCTTGGTGTATCTTTTAATAGCTCAATGGGTTTGCTATCAGGCCAGGAAAAATATTGAAAGCCAATCTGAGTGTTGCCAATGTACGTTTATTCGTTGGAAATATACCAAAAACAAAAACAAAAGAAGAAATAAAAGAAGAACTATCTAAACTTGTTGGTGCGGAGCATAGTTTTTCTATCATTTATTAAATCTAAGAGTGTTTTTCGCCTTTTTAGAGGGTATCACCGAAGTTATCGTTTATATACCAGCCGATGAAGCTGATAAGAAGAAAAATCGTGGATTTTGCTTTGTTGATTTTGATACACACAAAAATGCCTCAGCAGCAAAACGAAAGCTGGCTAGTTCAAGAACTAGGGTATGTATTTTTTTTATTACATGCAAACATTTTCTTCTACTGACTACACCAATTTTGAAAATTTCTAGTTATTCAATCGCGATGTAGCTATTGATTGGGCAGATCCTGATGAAAATCCCGATGATGAAACAATGTCCAAAGTAAGTGGAACGAGTATAACGACATACTTCAGTTGTTATTTGATCATTTATTATTTATTTTTATTTTAGGTAAAAGTTTTGTATGTTCGAAATTTAACGTCGGATGTCAGTGAACAAGATGTAAAGGATCTATTTTTACCTTATGGTAATATTGAACGTGTTCGAAAAGTTCGCGTAAGTGAAATTTACTTTTGTTTTTCTGTTCTTCAATTTTTGTTGTCTATTTTTTAGGATTACGCTTTTGTTCATTTTGATACACGTGATGATGCATTGAATGCAATGAAAGCGCTAAATGGAAAAGTAAGTAGTGTTTTGATCATTGATTATGATTACTATTGAAAATATTTTTATTTATAATTAGCAATTGGGGAAAAATTCTATGGAAATCAGTTTAGCCAAACCAATGAGTGATAAACGTAAACAAGCACAACAAAAACGTGAACAACGGAAACAGTTTGAACCATACAGTCGTGGAGGAGGATATGGAATGGGAGGTGGATCGGATTCGCATTACGGAAATGCTCCACCGAGTCGAATGCAAGGTGGAAATATAGGAATGAGTGGTGGTACAGATATGTTTATGCCAAGTAATTAAATTCTTTTTACCATTTCTGAACGTCCTTGTTTTATAAATTTTATATTTATAGATTACGATATGGATTATGGCATGATGGGAAATGACATGCGAAGTGGTGGTCCATCTAGAGGAGGACGAATGTCGGTGAGTATTAAGAAAGTAACTTCATGAGTCAATTTTGTCTATTTACCTCTTAGTTTTTAATCGAGCGTTTTCGTGTAGAACCAGGCAACTATTCTGCTTATGAATTAAAATTGATTGCTCCGTCTACTTAACACATCTATCATTTTGGATCTCATATTTAAAAGCATATTTTTTTTAGCGTGGCGGAAGATCTGGCCAACCTACATCTTCGTACGGTGGTCCAATGATGATGAATCGTGGCGGAGGTATGGGAAATGGTCCATCTCGTCGAGGAGGTAATATGTCTATGAGAGGTGGTGGTGGGAATAATAATGGTCGATCATCTTTCGGAGGTTATGGGGGTGGTAATAATAATCTCGGCGGTGGGAGACAACAAATGAATCAACAGTATTCAGGAGGTATGAAAAGAAAATCAGGACCAATGGAAGGACGAGGCGGCGGTCTTCCTAAGAGAAATCGCCAGGATAATACTGGTAGTTGGGGCATGGTTGATGATTCGAATAATACCGGCGGTAATTGGTTTCAAGATGCTGGCTATTCGCAATATCACTGGAATTGAGTATGAGGCGAATAAAAAAATCTTGCAAAAAAAACTTTTCAAAATTAAAATATTCGAGATTGAGTGAAAACGATCTAAAACCAATTTTATGCTATTCAAATGGATATTTTCAAAAACTAGTTTTTCGGATATTTTTTCGTACATGCAAACAAAATTTCCTTTTTCGAGATATACAAACAACAACAAATCAACATCAAATTTTGATATTTATTATTTAAAAAAACGTTTTGTCCGTTGGAGGACATATTTCTCTTTCTCGTTTTTTTTTCTTCGTTGTATGTTTGCCATTGAGCGAAAGCGAAACAGAGGAGAATTTACTTTGTTTTCTTTGTATAGTATTTGTGTGTGAGTGTTATTATAAAACTAAATTGAAATCTCGCTCGTGTTTTTTTGTTTCTATTTTTTCGAATGAAAAAAAATCGTTTTTGTTTTTACAACAAATGAGAAAAAATGTGTAGTTCTTACGCTCTCTGCTCTTGTTTCCCATGTTTTTTATATTGACATTGCTAATATGCACCATTTATTTGGAGCGTCTAGCGGACGTTTAGGAGCAGTAGTCTGTGTAATATATCTTTTTGTTTTTCGTCTTTGACTTGACCATAAGTCAGGTGTATTATGATTTTTGGCAGGACAATTCTCGATATTCCATACTTTATGAACAAATGTTTTGCTCTCTGTCTCTGTCTGAAATATCGAAAAAAAAATGTTTCCGTTTTTTTTTTTGTTCTTTCATATTTACATACATTTCTGGTTAAAAAATACCAAAAATTATCTTGCGCTGTTATTTACTCTGTTTCAAAGACAAAAATAGCAAAAAAGCTTTTTTTTCATGTTTTCGTGTGGTTTGTTTGTTCGATGTTTACAATTTCATTTGTTTTTGTCATTTAAACAAAATATATATTTAAAAACAGCGTGAAAAATATGCTGAGTAAAATTAACCAAAACAATTGACATACCACACATATATACACTCACACACATACAACTTTCAAATAAAATTGTAGTTTTGATAATAAAACAGACTGACCAATTTGCCTGCTTTTGTTAAGGTCAATCTATTTCTTAGAATAAGTTCGAATGCATGTGATTGAAGAATACCGTTGGCATTTCAGTTGAGATTTGAGCCATCTTATCGCAAAAACGTTGCCTAAGTTAAGGTCTCTGTTTATATGGATATACTCAGCAGGTCTGTCGTAGATTTTTTGATTCTTCGAAGATAGAAGTATAAACTATACTTCAATTGATAACGATTATGTTTAGGATATGTTGTACTTCAACCGTATCCTATGGGTGCCGTTTATTACGATCGTCCATTGAAACGATTACCAATGCCATGGTACAATATTTCGTATGCAAAAAATATACGTAGGTAGTCTTGCACGGTATATATATATATGCTAAACTAAATGCTAATGCTCTCTACTAACGTCTTTGTATCACTATAAATTGTTACATGTTCGTACGCAATATTACACTGTACTTAAAAAGGTATTAAGAATTCCAAAACGATGTGAATATTCAAGAATCAAGCAAACCATAAAACATACGTTCATAATATTGAGAAGGTTCAATAATAGCGTAAAAGGAAGATCACTGTTGTCTGCTCTTGTTCATTTGCTATACGTCTACCCTCAAAGTCTACAAGGTTGACAATAGTAAACAAGAGTCAAGGATTCAAACAATAATGAGAAGAAGCCTAAAATTTGTCATAGAAGTGTGAATCATTCATTCTTCACCTTTGCATATGGATTATATTTTTAAAATATAGCAATACACAACAATCTACGTTTTTTGAAGTTACGTTAAAGATCCTTGAGATATATAATTATCTGAATGAACCCACTAACTATCGCAAAGCAATTGAAAATGGATGATTTGAAACATTCACCAACTTATGCAGATAGTAGCGTGTTACACTGTTTTGTGTCAGATTTTTCTCTAATATTTGAGATAATAAAAAATAACACAATTTACTGCTTTAATTTTTCTACTCATTGTCTCCGATCGTAACTAATCAGTGCTGTTTATTTAAGCTCTGTTACATAACTTTTGGTTCCTATTAATCATCTTAATATTTGCTTCTTCGCTTAATTAGTGCACTACAATTCTCTTCTAGCTGTTATTTTTTGTTATTTTATTTTATAGCTCGAAGACGAATAGATAGACCCTCATCATCTGGAAATGGAATGGATATGTTGCCTAACAATGGTGAACAGAGTGAAACAGCTATTTTCTCACAACCTATGATGAAAAACAATTTATAAGAAAAGTCTATTATACAATAATGTATATACTTGTTTTTCGTTTATGCAATGAAAACAATCACTTTTCAACGTCAGGTGTTTTTTTACATAAAATGTGATTTTTTTTGTTTTTATTATTGTTGTTATTGTTAGAAAACATATACACTACCCGTATTGCTGTCAGATATATTTGATTAGCACACGAATCTCAGTTAGATTAAAAACAACATGTTTTACACTAAACAAAGTGTCGTTTTTAATTGCTTTGTTTATTTGTAATTTGCTGTTTTAAACGTCGTATTTCGTTGTTGTAATTTTTTTTCGATGCTCGGTGTTTAAAGATGAAAACGTTTTTTTTCTTTCGTATTTTATCTATGTCGTGTTTTTTTTTTATGTCTTTTATTTATTATACTTCAAATGTGAAAGAACATTTGACCACCTTTTTTTGACATATACAAACCGCTGAATTTTTAACAAAAGTCAATAGAAATGTGCCTGTTATACTCGATAGGTTTAATCATAAAAATCTTACAGGAAAGTGTCTTGTTGACATGTGACAAAATCTATTTCATTCGTTCATGAAATCATAGGAATATTACGGCTTCTAATAGAAAAGAATATTTACTTGAATTAAGTTTGAATTAAGTTTTTTAATATAATTCGAAAAAATAATTTATATAAATAATACATATAAGTATAAAAATGTTAAAATACAATTTGAAAACATCATTCTCTAATCGTCCTTGTCGCTCTCTCATCACTGTTATCCTGTTTATTGTCGCTTCTTCCTTGTCATGATGTTTATCTTCTTTTTGCTTTGGAGATTTTTTTGCTGATGCAATGATCGTACTAGAAATTGTTGACTGATCTGTTGATCGTTGTTTGTCACACAGTTGAAGGTAATGTGACAAATATTACACCACCTTTTGAAATTAACAACTTTAGTTAACGATGGAGCAGTAAAGTTCATTTGGTTTTCATTATCCTTAAAATAATCTAGCCATTTGTAATAAATAGCAATATCACCTCGAATATCTAAAAAGAACGATTTGTGTTATATCCGCCAGCGAGCCACTATTTAATTGTATCGAAAAGTGGTTCAATAGAAAATGAAAAATTGAGGATATTCAAGAGATTGCTCAACAATATATTTATCATAATAGGCAGGTTTTGTAGAGTTATGTTGCCGATTGGCAAAATACAAATTTGGTGATAAAGTGTATTTAAACTTCAGATCAAGAGAATTGGCTAGTCTATTTCTTACTAAACTTTGAAAGTCTTCCAGCATCATCAAATTAATCATTTATGGAACAGAGGTGAAGAACAGAAGGTGAAGAACAGAACTGAAGTACTTAAATTTGTATAGTTGCTAGAATAGAGCAACGCATTCACTTATGAACTAATCTGTCTAGTGGTGAATATGTATGGTTCTATTTATCATCATATACAGCTTATGATGGTGTTCCGCTTCTAACTACTTAACCAATACCGGACTTGAAACTGGTTTAGAAACATCTAACCGAACGAGACTTGCTGATTGGATATTATAAAAAATCAAGCGCTTCAAATTATTTTTTTGAACATTATTTTCATGCACTATGAAATAGATTTCTTGATTTTTGTATAGGTAGCAGACATGTGCTTACAATTTTTTCGAGCATAGTAAATTTCAAAGGATCGTTTGTTTCCGATCGATCATTCGGTAACGAAATCATATAACGACGAAAACTGTCGGCAAAGAAGAGTTTTTCCATCTTGTGTGAAAGCACATCAACTCTTTTCATATAGTCATTTATTGATCATGCCATTCTAAAAATAAGAGAGAAAAGTGGATCTATGTTCACTGATAATAAATATAGTTGTGTGAAGAAACTGCTGAAGAAAACGGCATGTAGTAGTATTATGTAGCAGCAGCAACTATATATGTAGTTTTCAACTCTAGTGTTGAAATTATTCATGGAAAGGTTGGTTTTATTTATTTAATTTCTGTTCGAATAATAAAACAAAATCATGCTTTTTATAAATGAAAAAGGTAAAAGACATGTGAAAACAGCGCGGAAAAATCCAGTCAGTCTGGTTGCAAAATGTAACTCATACAGTTTATACTATTGAGCCTCATACGTGGCTACACACCGTATTACTACTCAACACGTGTACCCTTGATGAACAAGTCATAAGTAGAATAAAGAGTAGAAACACTTCACAGTGTGATTTATAAACTACTGAAATGATGCTAACTTGAAAGGAATCAGAAGGAGAATAAAAGCAACTGCCCTGTTGAGTCTATAAGGTGTCGTTGACTCTTTTATCGTGCGATAAGTATAAGATTATTTTATGAACTGTTACTATCGCAGCATAAGCACACTCACCTATGTTTCATTGTTTTCAAGTACAATCTGTTAAGCTTGTACTTTGTCTTGCAAGTTTGATCACCATTAAGAACCAAGTTCATGCTAACGAAGATTATGATAATTTTGTCTCAATAATTTCCATGTATTACTATCCGTTCCAAATGGTCAGACCGCTGGTTTCTTTTTGAATAACTTTTGATAGGAATGAGATAGAGACCTGAGATTTTCGCTGTTCAATAGCCTAGACTTGAGCAGAACTTTTCACAAGCGGAAGCAACTTTTGAAAAAATTCTAGAGATCGGGTTTTCAGAGGATCTTTGGAAAACCAGCTTCGTTCTCAGAAAACTAACATATAATGTTAGTAGTTTTTTTGCATGCGTAGATAGTTCCGACGTTACTCTACAAA